GTGCTGTTGGAGCTGCTGTTGGAGCACAAGGGCCCATGACGTGGGCCTCTAAACCCTCCTGTTCGCTCCGTTTTCCACGTTGCGAACATCTTGGGCGGCAAGGGGGGTCACCCCACCCGGCAAGCCTCGGAAGACTCACTGGTTCATCTATGCCGCCAACCGCGCATGATGCCGAACTATGGCGAAGGTAGTTGGGGTGGGTGTTAGGGATAGGGGGTCTAACATGGTCTAACTGTCCAACTACTGGGGCCGCTTGTACCCTCTGAGGAGGGAGGTGGTTGAAACATGTTGGAGCCCTAACAACAATGACTCGCTTTGTTGTTCAACACCTGCAGTTCTTTTCCTCCCCCGTCCCAGGTGGACCGATCAGATCCCAAATCCCGTGCGGCCGGGGAGCCTGGATTTGTGTTGTTTCGATGTCTTTGAGAACGGTGAGGGCTTTGCTCAAATTTAGCGCAGTGGTGTGTGCATGGATGGTTGGGGCCATTTCGAAATGGCAAAGCAGCATCAGCATTAGTCGGCCTTCGTATCCCATCTAATTTGTAACTACCGCCAGGAGAGTATTCCCAACTGGTGACCTATGACCCACTTACTGTATTATCGAGATAGCGACGAAAGGAAGAGACGAAGAAAGCGACTTGTGTAGAGAATCCTGGAAACCCATGACTCAGAGGTCAAGAGGTGTTAATTTCTTTGTGAAGGCGCCCTACATGCCCTTACATGCCACAAGCTTCCAACGCCTCAAAACGTTTTTTCATTTGTGCGCACGGCCAGGCCACCATTAAGGCCATTGAGGACCGACAAAAACAGCGAAGAGATGCATGGCCGGTGTTTGTTTCACCGGGAAGCCCACGCAAAGAGAGGCCCGTGTCCTAAGACCGGCGATGTCCATGCGTTTTCGAAGAGGCGTTTACGCCCAAATGGAACAGGCAAACGGTGAAGGACGAAGGAGGTGAAGGAGGTCTCTGGTTCACAGCTGTGAGAGCTTCTGTGGTTCTCATCTGTCGTGTTGACGGAGCCACGCGGCTGACGGAGTGAACGGAGCGACGTGTTTTGGGACTCCTGAGAGGATCATGTGGCCAACTGGCAGCCAGGGCGACAGCCCCTCTTGTTGTTCCCTGAGGCGTGCGGCTCTCCTAGGTGGTGGGGCCGGGTCAAAGAAGCATTCTTAGCTATTTATAGGTGAACAAGGTAGCTTTGTGGATGGAAGGTAGCAAGATATGGTTGGATTTTGTTTGCATTTATTTTGGGGTTAGATCAACTCGACAAACATTATGGTGAAACTGTTTCCTTTGACCGATGTTGGCAATTGTTGGAGAGCCAGCAAGGCGATATCGTGTATTTTGTCCATCGGCTTTTCCCAGTATTGTGTTGTTTCTACCGACCTGGAGTGTCAAAGCACGTTTGAAATCCTTTGAAGCATGAGTACTAGTACAAATACCTAGCTGTTTTGTGTGGTGTCGTATTCATTTCCGGCACCTCAGGGCTCGGGATACAGCCTCTTCACTGCACAAACTTAGACCAGTGAAGCCCAGATTTGAGACGAAGGCAGTCGGCAGTCCAGTCAGACTATAGCGGACTAGCTATGTGCCTGGAAAGCGAACAGGCTGTCGTCCGATCCTGGAATCTCCAAGAGGACACTCCATTTCCCACTGCTTATCAGAGTTTGTGTGGCCTGCCTTCCAAGAAAGATTCAAAAAACATCTTCCAACACTGGCCTTCGGTGATGGTTCGTGCCTTCGTGCCAGAGGACCAAGGAAAAGGGTAAGGTCCTCAACCTGTATGGCTGAGAGAAAAACCGTTCATACCGAAATCTCTAATGACTGGTGGATGTAGGGCAAATCACCATTTTTTAATTTGATGTTTATCAGAAATCACTGCAGACTGATGTCCGTGACAGAATTCGACTGAAGTCAGGCAATGATTTTGTTCATGACTTGTAGATTTCCCTATGAAACCATACAGAGTGTTGATGTGTTTTGGTCCGACCGCTCAGGGTACGACGAGCAATGGGCAAGGCCTTTTGGAGTGGGGAAGCTTAGCCATTGCAGGCTGCCCGGAAATCTATATATCATGTACTTGTCCTACCCGGTGAGTGGTGAATTTCAATCCCTTCGACGTGTTTTGAGGGATTGGTGTACCTAAAAGGAAACCGGTGGAAAGTTTAACCCTTTGCGGGACACTGAAGGGTTAGTGGTGTGGGATGAGACTAAGCATCCAATAAGGAGGTGAGTCTTCCATGACAGACCTGCATGAACCAACATAATTAGTGAAGCTGCCTCCAAGAGCCCTAGGGATTTCAGGGTGTTGCCACATTGCGCTTGGCTGCAAGTGAGCTGGCAGCGATTGTTTACAGTCAGAGGGATCAAGTCAAGAACCAAGGAAACTGCTGCCAGGCCATTGACGACGTGCACGAGCCCCAAACATTACCTGACTAATTAGATCTGACTACGCAACACATTCTCCAGAGTGCCCCTCCTCGCTCAAGCTTAGGTAGGGTGTTGCCTTTGGGTGTTGACACCCCAAAACAAACTCACTCCTGAACCCCGGCGCAACAGGGTTCCTTCCTCCACCTGAAGCATCCGGTCCACCCAGCAACCAGTCAACCCACCTGTCTCCTCCATGGTGCACAGGTTCCGGAAGGGTGCCTTCGTCCCGGGCGTCCCCGTGCGGCCGGCAGTGCCTCGGTTGGCTCGGCTCGGCTCGGCGGTGGTATCGGTGCTTTCGCACCGGTACTCCGGCGGTGTTTGAAAGCTGGAGCACCCATCTGGTGGGTGAAAGTTGGTGAAAAGAGGATGGAGCCAATGAGCATTTGGGGGGCAAAGTCTAGAGGGAACCTGTTCAAAACACATTGGATTGTTGCAGGAGGATTCCTAAACGTGAAAGCTGCTTTTACATGCTGAGTGTGAGCTGCAGGGAGGAAGTGCATCAGTCAAAACATGTCCAAACGAATCACCGGCAGCACCGGAGCCAGTTCATGAGCAGTGTACGGAGGTGCTTTGCTACACTGGCAGCTGGGATCCCGCCAACACCAGCTACCGGGAAACCGATGGGAAAATCCAGGCACGGAAGAAACACCACGGGGGTACCGGTGCAGGGAAAAAAGGGGTGTGCAGATGATGGAAAACGCCCAAGCGCATGGACGGGTGTTAAGGTAAGTGGAGATTCTGGGTAGGTTTGAGTTTCAGGGGTGGTTGCAAGAGATTCTTTTAGTATGAAGAAGGCTGGTGGCCTGACATGCACATGTCCTGTGCCACTGTGACAAAGCCGGGGAACAAAGAGCTTTTTCAATCGACTACTGATTTGTGCGGTGTTGCTAAATATAGAAGGATCCGACCCAGATGTTTAATGATTGGCAATTTATTCTCCTGGAATGCATCCTTTTGTGCAATCATGCCAGTTGTTGCTTTAATGAACGATGCTGCATACATGGGAGTTATCCAAAAGGTCCTTGTAAGGGTTTTTAATGTCAAGAGCCTTGGATGACATGATCGTGGGTCTCGCGAAAGTTTTTTTTCGAGTTCGCGAGTGTTAATGTTTTTTTTCGCGAAAGATTCGCGAAAGTATGAATTTTTATTGTATGTTCTTTGGCGAGCCTTCGGGCTTGCCCCATGCATAACCACATCCTTTTCTGACCGTCAGCAGCTTCAACTTTGGAATCCGTGTGAAGCTTCCTTCCTGTTTCATGTAGTCCACCCTATGTTATGTATGCCGTAAAAACCTCCAAAGCACAGGGATTATTTCGCGAAAGTTTCGCGAAAGTCTGGCGAAGGTTTCGGCGAATGAATCGGCTCCAGAGGAACCCCGTAGCCCATAGCAACCCCACAAACTGTATTTAGAAATCGAGTCCCTACCAGGTTAAATGGTTTCATGACATGGTGAACCCCCGCGAAAGAAAAACACAGGGTTCGCGAAAGTTTCGCGAATGTTAATGTTTTTTTCGCGAAGAATGGCCGTTTCAATAAACAAGAATATTGGACAACCACCACATGTTTTTGCAACAAGAGACTTGAACAGTTGCCGTCTCCTGCCTCCTTCCATCGTTTTAGCATCGCTTTCAGCAGGCAATTGGGGACACCGAGTGGGCCGAGCAGCTTCTGGTCGAAGAGAGCGGGTCAAGACAGTGGTGGGTTGATCGAAATTGTGGGCTGTGGGAAGGCAATAATTATCAAGGTAGACCTGAAAGACTGAAGTCAAAGAATTTGCAGGAGGCCATCGCAAGTAGGATGGAGGCCATCGCTACTAGGTGGAGGTCATCGCTATTAGAAACAAAGAAAACACAGGAAAGGGTATAGGAATGATTAGGAATGTATAGGAACCATTATGAAATAATAGTATAGAGCCAATTTTGGGTTTGCCCCATTACCTGTAAAATAGTCGGCAAAAAAATATAACATATTAAAGTACAACTATTATTGAACAAGCCCTTTACTAACCATCATCATCTATAAGTACTCTTACTGGCAATTGGATAGACCCAACATATATTTCAACATATATAGCTATTACAGCAAGTCTTTGTAAGCTTTGATGAGCTTCAGAAGATATCACTGTGACTGTTTGTTCTTAATCGATGGTGGCTGGTGAAAATCCTTTTAGATGCGAGTGTTTGGCAAAAGACGGCGCGTTCCGGGTTGGATGCCACTTTTGCAATGGGGCAGGCAGCTTCCGCGGGAAGCTGCCGATTCTCGACTTTGTTGAGGAATCCTGGAGATTAGCCCTCCCTGAGGAAGTTGCTAGGATTGCCATGGATGGCTTTGCACTGTGTTTGAGGATCTGGTGTTTGCGCTTGCTACGGTTGCTAAATTGGATTTTAATGGATTTGGCAGGTATAGCAATGCCATCCCTTTTTCGCTTTTAGCCCACGCGGGACCGCAACGCACGAGGTTCCTCGGCCACATTTTTTCACTCCTTGCAGATCCGGGTGTTGCCACCCTACGAGCCATCGGAGGAGTCGGAGAAAGACTGGAACCGGATAATCTTGAGACTGCGGAGGGGGCGTTGGAAGCTTGGGAATATCTTTGGCAAGACTTGGGTGTACTTGTCGCTTCTGCATCCCTCTACTATTGTGTTTTTTTTTGTCAAAATGGGACAAGGGATTTGGTTTGGATGCCCTTCCACGCATGGCTGACCTGTTTGCTACTCTTGGGATGTGAGTCCGTGTTTTGTTTTAATAAGGGATTCTATGATCACCTATTTGCTTTGGAGTCGAAGGGTGCACAGCGGGCTCGTAAGCATGTGTTCAGAGCTTGTGATGTTGATGGTACGAGGAGGTGATGGACCTTAAGACCTTAAGACAATTCCACCTTTTTTTGCACACAGTAGGAGCATCCGTAGTTTCCATGGTGTTCTTTCTTTTGTATCATCTCGTCCTGCATCGATTCATGCTCGAGCCGCCCCAGCCGCTGATTATCCAGCTGCCGCTTGTGAATACTGAACGAACCCATGTCGTTCAGACGAATGGCGCCAGCATCTCAAAGTAAACCTTTTCTGCAAAACGCAGTCGGAGCTCTCCTCATCCTACTGCCACTGTGGCAAACCCAATGCCCTGCATTTTGCATGCAAACAAAAGCTAATGGCCATGAGGTGCTGAAAGGATTGGAGAACGAGGATACTCGACTTGCACAGTATATGGAAACATTAGTTTGGCCGAAGTTGACTTGCTTCCATGCGTTCGGCCAAACATACAAGTTGCCGTTCCGAAGCCGGGCTGCAGGAAATCGGAAGTCTCCCACATCAGCTCAGTTGGAGTACTTGGGTGGATTCTTTGATGGCGACGGGTGCGTAGCTTGCAAAAGTGACTTGACGGCCTGTTGGCTGTCAATGGGTCAGGTGGCAATCAATGCCGAAGTGCTGGTCCTTTTCGTGGAGTTCTTTGGAGGATGCATATACCGTCAAGCGAATGGCCAGGGGATCCGACAGCCAAAACTGCAGTGGCAGGTTCATTGTCAGGAGGCTAGAGCTGCGGCGAAGCAATTGAGCAGTGTTTGTTTAGGCAAGAGGGAGCAGCTGGACCTGGTCAGCAATTGGTGGGATAACAAGGATGAGCGGCAATTGGTGGCTGACCAGCTGCGCGAACAGAAGAAACGCCCACCAACCATCCCAAGCGAGTTGAGCCTTTCATGGCCATATTTGGCAGGCCTGTCCGACTCTGCAGGTTGCATTAAGCTGCGTCCCAACCAGAATAGTAAAGCTGTCAAGCTTGAAATTACCCAGAAATACAAGGCTCTTTTGCTGCTGAGCAAGGCATTTTTGGATCGGCAGTTTGAAGAATCGGGTGCGGAGATTTATTCTTGCACTAAATCAGCATTTCGCCTGGAAATCACTGATCAGAAGACTGTGCGAACCCTACTTCAAGAGCTATTGAAAGCTGGCTTGATGATAAAAGCCTCTACAGCTCGATGTGCGCTGGCTCCTCACCGCAACCACGCTTCAATGCGAGAACAGTTGAGTGCCACCATCACTGGCAATCAGGGGCGCTACACCAGACTGGATGCACAAGGCTGCCAACGGAGCAAGTCCATTAAGAGTCTTCGCAGTAAAATGCGGGCAGCTCAAAGGAAGCACGACAGCAAGTCTGTGGAGCAGCTAGAGAACCAACTTGCAACCCTGCAGCTCCACCACGACATAGAAAATGCCAAGTGTCGCATTCGCCGTCGGAAAGAAGACATCAAAATGCTGTTGGCCGCAGGTGCAACATCATCAAAACCGTCTCCCGCAAGTGTGGTAGATCTCGATCATGACCTGGTGTCCTCCGAGAAAAATGAAAGTGCGCCAATTGTCGTTTGTCATCGCATCATTCGACCCAGACTGGCTGAGCACCTCTTCAATGTCTCAAACAGACGTATCAACTAATCAGGCCTAGCAGTGTGTATTTTAATTTACACTGGGATGGGACACGTGTAGTAAACGTCACATTTATGTTGTTTTGAACCAGTACCAACTTTGTATCCATGTTTGCTCGACGGATTGTAGCTGCTTGGTCATAATATGCAATCCTTTTGCCACACCTGCGTGGCAAAGGGTTTTCCGAGCATTTTTGGTTTTGTCATTCTGTATGTCCTTCCAATCCCAAGGGTTAACCTGATTTGTGGTTGAAGGCAGGTGACTACTTGAAGTCTAGACACCTTTATAAGTTTGTTCTGCTTGCAACTGGAAAGTTTGGCCCTAAACGGCCAAGTTTCCACCTTTCGCTTCAATGGTTTGCGGGTCTGTTGGGACAACGTGCTTGGTGTAATGTTCTCTCCAAGACTCACTTCGTCCAGCGACACCGTTTCGTTCCCGCCGGGTTGGTCGAATCGGGATCAGACCGGATCGTCAGATTGCAGACCCTGTTGGAAATGGAGTGTGGAGACTGGCACAGCACCAATCCTTCTCCGCAAAGCGACAGAAGGACTTGGTTCTTGGGTACCTGCAGGCGCCTGCAGGCCACCTCTACGATGCTTGGCGGCCAACCCCAGATCTTTTTCTCCAAGAATTGACCAGGAGGAGAAGGCTGACCCCCAGCTCTACGCCTCCAACGTCCGCAAGGCTCGCGGTTCGCTCCGCGGCACGGCGATTCGAAGGCACGGAGGACGGATTTCCGAACGACGACAGCGATCGATGTCCACTGGAAGCCACTGGCGATGTGGGAAGACCCTGAGGCAGAAAAAACAGATCTGAAGGGGTTCATTCTTTTGAGGGTACATGAAAATACCTACCATCCACCGTTTGGCTGGTATGACGATCCCTCAATCCTAGCGACCTCTTTGGGAGTTCATTGGGGATCAGGTTTTGGCCAGGCTTTGTCAAGTGATGTTTAATATAATGCATAATCAATGCATATATATGCTGGACTGTACATGGACCTATGGATTGAGTATATTATTTAAACCAGTATAGTTTCAGAGTGAAGAAGATGATAAGGAACGTTTTTCATATGCAGTCCTGTCAGAGGAGTGTCACTTCGTGTCACTTCGGACACCAGAAATAGGCTGAACGCACACTTCATCATCCTGTCTTTTCCTTGCAGGTATCTATGCCAGGGGTTTTTGACTCGGCCGAAGCGTGTTAGACATATTACATTTATTACACATTGGTTCAGTATTCAAGGCAAAGCCCGATATTGTGATGACATTTGGTGAAGCCGCAGAACGTCAGAATTTGGAATCGGTTTAAATGGGCTTTCTGAATTGGTCATTCATCGGTCTGTTTTTGACCCTTGAAACATTGGTTGAATTTGGACATGTGGTAAAAGCTCAGAATGCAGATGACACCTGACAATTTTGACGTTCAATTCACATCAGCAATGTCATCACCTGATATCTCCAAGTGATTCCAAATGGCAGTTTTTGTGTGTTTTTTTAAACAATGTTTAGATCAGATCAGTAAATTACATTTGATGAGGCATGGTCCAAAGGACAATGTACAATGAATAACAATGATGTTGGAGTGTCCAAATGACGTTTGATGAGATCTGCAGCTTCGCATCCACTTGGCCGAGCTTTCAACATCGCCAGGTCATGAGTGATGCGCACGCAGAGCTTCGGAAGGAGGCAAAGAGATGCTGCAGGAGCAGGATGTGGGTGATGATCATGACACAGCCCCATTTGATCGAGGTGCCCCAAATACGATGGAAAACCAACGGCTGCAAATACAGATCTCAGGTGCTTCTCTTTAGGTGCTGATGACCGGCTTCTGCTCAGATTCGGTCCGCACCTCCTATATACCAATGACCGCACCTGCAATACCATCGGACCATTGACTGGGGGCGACCACTTCTTCTATTTTGTTCGAGTTGACTGGGCGCTTCTTCACCCGTGAATTAGGTGTAATAAGTCATGTGAGATTTGCCATCATGAGGGCGGGGTAACCTCTCCAATGTGTTTTTTCATGTCCGTGATTGTTGGCATGTATTTTTTTGGTACCCTCCTGGAGTTTATTTCATTTGCAAGCGTTCTGGGTGAGATTTGGGACCTGAATGTTATATCGTGGCTCCGCCTGCAAAACCTGGATTTTTTTCGGAGTAATGAATGGTAATACAAATCAAATCAGATCTGGATTTTCTTGAAGACTTGCATCATACAATTGTGGCTTACCTACCTGATACCAAATATAAACATTAGTGGAGTTATCTGGGATCCAACATGATGGGTGTGACCTGTAATTACCCTGTTGCAGGAAGAGTCATTGAATAGTTTTTTTTTTTGAAGAGAGCCGATGAGCTGGGTCATGCTAGGTCGTTTCTGGCAGCCTGGTTCGGCCCAGGTGGAACTAAAAGCCAAGCAGCACTCCATTCAGGTGCTGCCTCGTGGTGGGAACTGGGGTGTTTGAAAATCGGCACCTCGTTTTCAACGCCTTGTGGGAACACTGGAGGCATACGAGGTCATCTCAGCCTGGGAGCTTGCCTGCCTAAGGCCTAAGGAGAAAAGTATATTTAAAAGGTAATACGGTCAATGATTCTCTTATGGTATATATATATATTGTCTTAGTTTGTGTAATTTCATGATGTATCCATATAACATGTTCTAGACCATTGAGGTGCTTTTCAACCAGACGCCCGTCTGACAGTATTGCTTCTTTGGAGACCCTGTCTCGGGTCGGCCGGAGCCCGTGGTTCCATTTGCCGGTGCCGTGCCGAACCGAGGGACGGCACCGGCATGCCATCCACTCACGTCCGTTCGGGCCGAACGTAGGGGGCAAAATTCATCGACTCCCTTGGACGGAACTCCTTGTTCCGTGGGGTCACTGGACATCAACAAAAACGAACGCTGATGTTTGTTTTGATGGCTTAATTGTCGGCTCGTGTGCGAGCTGATCCATTTTGGCTTGTAGGTTGCTTATGCTTTAAGTAGCCAATCATCCGCAGGCAGGCTTCCAACAGGTGAATCAGTCACCTGGAGGGTTCAAAGGCACACTCCTTTGATCGTGGCGTGCGGCCTTATTTAGGGCAAAGCGCCGAAGAAAATCCCATATATCGGACATTCCGTCAGAACAACAACCTTAGACATAGAAGTTCATTCCTTTGGATCAACCAACACATGAAATGAAGGGACATCAAGGTCTGATGGTGTCAACCGTGTCATCAGTTGTTACTTTGATTTATGGTGCCTTCTGGAAGCACAAATTGTCAGGCCTTTGCGCAGAAGGGCGTCGGGGCTCCTGTGGGCGGGTGCCGGTGATGCAAAGCAGTTAAAGAACTGAATCTTCCCAAATCCACCTGGAACGGGTGCTGAAGGCTTGATATAAAGACCATTGCAATCATCCTGAATGAGACAAGTATGGGCGCTGCCTCTATTCTAATTTGTGTGTATTTTTTTGTATCTCAATTTGTTTCTTTGCTTCCGGTCCTGACAGTACCATGGGTCCCGCGTTCCCGCAGGGTCTTTTCGAAGAAGGCCACAGACCGCGGGTAGCGGTGTATGAGATGGGTACTAGGTATTGGCGTTATGACCCACAACTTCCCCACAGAAGTTTGTGTGGTGATGATCGGCCATGTGGTGAACATCCATTGATATATATATATATATTACTTAAATCTCTATTTATGGTACTGCCATAGCCACAGATAGGGAAGGTACTCAACAGATCGTGGGCCTTTAAAGGATCATCTCCGTTTAAGCTCATGAATTTTGATGAGATGAGTTTTACCAGGTGATTAGGTGTCATCCATGCCAAGAACCTGCCTTGCCGTGGGAAGAGGTCCAACAAAGAAAACTCGAGCGTCCACACATTACCCCTTGTCTATGGCCAGGTCCATGTAATGATGGCCTGCCCGGGCAGCTCTCGGGTCTGAATGAGTGGGGTTCAGCTCCAGACAATCCATGGGACTTATGAAAGCAATAGTTACGGACTCATGGGACTGATTGGGACTGGGTCATTTGGAACATTCTCCTGTCCATATCCAACATGACATGCTCTTGTTCCACCATGCTCCTTGACATGCTTCTGAGTTCCGGACATGTGAGGATTATGTCATGCAACTCCTCCAGATCGAATGGTTCAGGGTCACCTGGCTGGAAGCCCCGGCCCACTACCATCCGGGATCTCCCTGTCCAGGACACCCCTTTGAAGGTGTCATTCTGTGATGCTCGGTCTTTCATTCTGTTTAAGTCAGTTGTTGGTTGAGTTCCTCATGGTCCGAACGCTTTGTAGTCTCCATTTATCGCCAGAAATGGGATGGGTGACATGGGAAGCAGTGTTTTTGCAACACCTCCAGGTGGAACCGGAACCGAACCCCATTACTTGGGAAACCATGGCGTTCAGGGTCGTGTGGGTCGTTTTCTTGCAAATGGGACCGCTTCAGGTGGACTTCGTGGAGGCACTGGCGGTGGATGGGGATGATTTGGGTAGACAAGAACAGCACTCCTTTAGAGAAAGGCCTGCAACTGAACCATCATCATCCACTGGGCCCCGGTAATAGGGTATCTATATATACTCAGTGGGATGATCAAGTGGGCTTGGGCTTGTACCTGGACCTGTGTGGAACACATCTGTTGTCGATGCAAGCCGAACTGATAAGTAATTGTTCGCTTGGAGGATCCGGAGATGTCAATATCATTATCCCCACACTGGGGGATCAATATCCGGTTTAGTAGCGCAGCTTTGCCAGTTTGAACCAGATACATCAAGATACCAAGTGAATGTTACGTCCCTTCTGTCCCATCCAAAGAAGACACTGACACTCCCGAAAAAGGTCTCTTCTACAACCCCAGGTCTCCACATAAATGCACCAAGGACCCGTCAACCTTCCAAGAGATCCCCTCGGAGTGCGTGCCCCGCGCGGTTCTTCGCTTCCGTTCCTAACACGCCCCCGAACGCAGGACCTCAGCACCGGCGTGGTCAACGGCATGTCCTCGGTGATCCAAAAGACCCGCGAC